TTGGCGCTGCCGTTGGCGGGCGCGGGGCGGCGCTCGTCGGCGTTGTGGATGAAGTGGCAGCGAGGCCCGTAAGGGCAGAAGCCGATGGTGTGGAAAGTGCGGCAGAGCTCCGTCTTGTACTTGGGGTGGCGCGTCAGGCTGCGGAGCTCGTGGAAGCCGTGGGCGAACTGGCACTTCTCGCCGTACTTGCAGGCGCCGCTCTCCTCGAAAGGCCGGCACAGCTCCGTCTTGTAGCGCGTCGAGTTAATGGGCGCGCCGCCGCCGCCGCCCCCTCCTCCGCTGCCATTGCCATTGCCGCCGCCGCCCTTCCCCGCCGAAGCCGCCGCCGCCGTCACCACCACTTGCTGCTGCTGAAGCTGCTGCATGAGGTGTTGGCTCCGTTCGCCATTCTCGCTGAAGGACCGGTCTCGGAACTTGTTCTCCTTGTTCAGCAAGGCGGTGGTGGCGGCGGCGACGGCGACGGTAGGGCTGCTGCTCCCTCCTCCTCCGGGGACAGGCTCCTTAAGATTGGCGAAGGACGAGGGAGAGGATGAAGAGCCACCCGGGAACTTGGCGTTGCCGTTGGACAGAGCCTGCAGGTTGCTGGCCGAGTGTCTCCGCAGGAAGCCCGGCGCAAAGTTGGAGCTGGGAGAGGTGCCCACGGGGCTCCCCACGGCTTTCTTGTCCAGCATGTTGCTCAACGATTTCTCGGTCTGAGAGGGCCAGAGAAGGGAGGGAAAGAGAAGAAAGGGGGAAACGGTGCACTGTGACTGGGAAAAGCGAGAGGTTTCTTGGTCGCCTAGCTCCCCTACGCTTGCACGAACCACCGGAGTCTCTCCTAACTCGCTTCTTTTGCTTCTCCATGGGCCTGGCCACAGATCTCCCACCGGCTCCAAACTAGCCTGCAATTTAACGCTCTCCGATGGGGGTGGTCTAAACCCCTCCCACTCCAGCCAGTTAGTGAGGATTGCACTTTAAAAAAAGTCCCCATTCAACAACTAGAGCTGCGGTAGTGCGGGTCCAGTTTCGATAATCTCTTTTTCTTGAGCAGGTCTGTGTTTAAAAACACACCCACCGCACTCCCACGCTGGAACAAGCACACATGTACAAAAATAGGGCCGCACCATTAACTACAGTCGAGCTAAAACTCCGCTGCAACACACCCCTCTTAACTAGGGTCATTGCAAACACCTTCCCAACATTACAATTACATCTAGGCAGATACAGATTCCTCAGGGGAATCAGACACAGCCCTTTCTCAGGCAACAGGTTCCTTACGAAAGTTACTTAGGTTCCATCTTTCTCTGCAAGTTGTTGCAGAACACAGCAGCCCCTTGTGCTTCTTATGCATGTTGCCTAGCAAGTGGCAGCCCCTACCCTAACGTTTAATCGGCAGGAAAAGAAGAGCGTGCGGGACTGCAGCTTTTGGAACCTTCTCTGCAAATCTACAGGTTGGATCCAAAACTTTTCACAACTTATCTTAAACTACCTAAAATAAAAAGACTTCGTTCTCCTCTTACCTTGCAAAAGAAGTCGATGTCGTAGAAGGCAGATAACAGTGTTGTAGACATTTCTAGATCCTGTAATGGTCGGAAATGCAGGAAGGACCAAAAGATCCCACTTTCCTCGGAAGCTTTGGATGAGCCACGACTGGATAGGAAAGGGTTGATTCCTTAAGATCTGAAATAGTTCTAATCGCTTTCCCAGCGGAGGTGGGAGAGCGAGTACCTAGCCAAAGTGTCAGCCGCAGCTATCTAGACTGCTGAAACTCTGTAGCTGGGGTACACGCCCCATATATAAACGCCAGGGCAGCAATGGGGAGGGACCCAGCGCTGACCCGGCTGGGGTGTCCCAGCAACAGAACCCTGCGGTTCTCCACCTCCCCAGCCTAGTCACGCCCCTTGCCTCTATGGACCGTCTTATTGGGCGCCGCCAATTTTCTTTCAGTGGCCCAGAGAGCATGGAGGTGGGGCGGCTGTGAGAGTGGATCTGGAAAGGAGAAAGGCGAGAGCGGAGCAACGGGCGTGCAATGGGACATGTTGAGAATGTGCAGACCAGCTTCTCTTTTGCTCGTCTGCCTCTCCGGCTAGTTTCCACCGTGCCATACAGACGGAAGACTCCTTGGCTTACATGGAGAGCAGCTCTCTCCTTGCAATGACGGCGATACGGAAAGGAAATGTCACGATCCTCGCAAAGCAGCCTTCCTCCCCCAACCCGCGCCCCCGCCCCAGTCCTTGCCGTACTAGGCACGCGTTGAAAGGTTCCCTTCGCATAGGGAAGGCACTGTTCCTTTTATTATCAGTGTTGCCAGTCAGTATGTGCAGTGTGGTGTTTGTTCCCCCCCCCCAGTACAGTAAGGGGCGGGCAGCCTATAAGCCTTTGCATGGAGTATTTCAGTCTGCAAAAGTCTGAGTTCCCCCCCCCCCCCCTCAGTACAGTAAGGGGCGGGCAGCCTGTAAGCCTTTGCACGGAGTATTTCAGTCTGCAAAAGTCTGAACACAAACCGCGGCAGTTTCCCCAAGAGTGGCAACAACGCCTTGTGCGCAAGAAACTTCCCTGAGGTTAACCACAGGCAAAGCACAAGCGCTGTTTGCTCAAGAATGCAGCCCTGCCGGAGCACCTGCTGAACCGAGCAGTGCACAGGCAAAGCCAGAGCGTCTACAAGGGACGTGTTGAACCGACGCTGCAATCCTGTGCACTTAACTCACGAGTAAACCTCACCGGGGTCAAGGGGATACACGTCTCTCTTAGCTCGGAAAGGGCTGAGTTGCAGCATGTGTGAGGTGCCATACCACGGCTGTTACTTTCCAAAATTTTTCGAATAGGTCTGTTGCGAAGCTGCCCTCAAAAGCGTTCGAAGGCAGTTTTCCTGCTTCATCATGCAATGTAAGGCGGCAAGCTATGCAGAATACATTCTCTTCTCAGAACGAGTTTTCTTCCCTCCAGTCTGTGGAGAGGATCAGCGCCCTTTCTTCACCCAGCCGGCCCTGCTCCTTTGCACAGCTCGGAAGTTTTCAAGTAAACACACAAGGTGGCACGGGACTTTCCTGCCCGTTTCACACCCCCGCTGAATTGTTTCGGAAGTTCGCAGTAGCGAGAAAGGGGAGGCATCAAAGGGCCTGCCAGCAAACTGGGACGCCCGTGCAATCCCTCCTTGCTCGCCTCCCTCCCCTCCCTCCCAGGAACCTTGTGCCACGCAACAGGTTTTGGAAACAAAAGGTTGGCTGCCTCTGCTTCGCCCGTGCAAACTGGCGGGACTACGCCGTCGTCGCCCGCAGGGCTGTGCTAGGTTTGTAAAACTGAAAAGGCGACGGCGGAGGTGGGGAGAGAGAGAGAGAGGCGAGAGGAAGCCGAGGGAAAGCGTTAACTCCCCCGTCGCTGGTCCCATAAGAAAGCGGACTGGGGGGGGTGGCTGCTTCCCTCCCCTCCCAGCTCCCGCCCTGCTCTTGTAGCCGCCGCTGTCTACTTCACAGACTTGGCAAGCGCTCAAGGTCTTGTGATAGGATGGGCCGAGCCAGCTCGTCGTCTTTTGACACACACAACCCCGAGCTCCCCGCTCGACCCGCCACAGCACGCCGCCTCGCCTGGGAAGGAGGGGAACGGGACGGGGGGGGGGGGAGG